TGGGATTTTTGTGAAGCGTAGTGACACAACAAATAATCATAGTGTCACTAAGAATCATTTTCTGGATTTCGATAGTGATGTGTTCTCAGAGATAATAAAAGTGGAAAGTGACGAGTACAAGAAATGTATATGTATAAAGTAAGCGTGCTGTAAAGGAAAATGAAATCCAAAAAAAATTATAATCGACTGCTATTGAATTCTAAAGAGAAATATAGAGGAAAAATGGCAATTATAATCAATTAAAATTTCATTTTCAGGATTGGAATTGAATATTTTTAAGAAAAGAACTATGACTGCGAAAACAGAAAAAGAACATTCTAAGAATACTCCTTTCTTACAGAATGCACATGAATTCATTTTTGTTCAACCAAAACTAAAATTTATTAGCGAATTAATCTGTCTAATATTCAGCACCTTGGTTCATTAATGTGCCAATTTTTTAAAAAATTTAAATGCTTGAAGAAAAATTCAAATATCCACACCACATGACTTCCTTGTAAGGCTTACCAAATTATACACTTTTTTGCTGCACTTCGTTTAAACTTATTTCCACGAATTTCATTAAAAATATATTTCTCGTGTTCTCATTTCGCGGTAAGGCAAAAATTCGTAAAAGCTATAAAGCGTTATACCTTCACTAAAATTTGTAAAATAAACCTAAACGACGATATGCTGTTAAAAACAATTAAAAAAACTTACAAATAAAATTAGAAGTTTATGCGCAAAAAAAGCAGTTCGGCCAACAAGCAGGTAGAAAAATTTTCCGGTGCACAAAATTAAAAGTTAACTTTTGGTCCTGCTGTGTAAAAAGACACTGAAGTTGGCGCACCAACTGAGTTCACTATTCCACTAAGAGTTTCGAATTTAAACAAATAGCAGGCAGCCTCATTAGACCTGGCGTCACTTAAATTTTTAAATTGTTGATAATTCTACAACTATTGCATGCATATTAACTAAAGGCATAAACAACTTAACCGGAAGATAAAAACAATATAATTCAATCACTAAAGCCAAAAATGCGCAATTTTCCAACATATAAGAATAAAAAAACTGAGCTCATCGAGCTGCTAACAGAGTGGACATATCACAGTATCAGAAATTTTTACTTTGAAACAAAATTATACGAATATTATTTTCTCTCAGTATGGTGCTGAAATATGATATTTTTTACGTACTTACTGGCAATTTTAGATTTTACTGGAATTTAATTTCACTTCTTTCTTGTCTTTGAATTTAGTCCTAAATTTCTTACTTATTGTCTATAATATAAATCTCTCTTTCTCTCTCTCTCTCTATATATATATATATAAACAAATATATTCTAAAAATTAAAAACATAATTTTTTAAATCCGTCCTGCGCTATAACTGCAGGATATATATATACATATATAAATATGCTTGGTGCTTCCTATTGCAACGAAAAAAGCATATATTATAGCAGTCCCATATACAAAAGTTCAATGTTCTGCGGTAACTCGATTTTGAGTTATGCGAGATACATGCATACGTTCGTACGTATAGACGTCATGAACAAAAATCCTTATGTAAAGATATCGGAATTAGGTAGTATCCATCAGAGACTGAGTCTTACAATTATGAATTTGGTTCATACGGCGAACGAGCTGCCTGAATGGAAGTTTTCGTGGTTTTCTTTATGCGTAACCTAAATATAAACCAGTTTTCCTTAGAAAGTTCTCACATAGGCATCTTTTCTTTCAAATAAATAATACTCTCGCGCATTTTAGTTACTTAAATATTCTAAGTACGTCGGAATTAGTATGAAAATGTGCGAAAACTATTGAAAAATAAAACTAAACGAATGATGAAAGTTTTTTTATCTTGCAAAGTTTGGGCTAAATTCTTTTGGTTACGTGTAAGATAAAGGGTGCATTGGCAGAACAATTTCTTGCGATGAAAAGAGACCCATATCAGAGTAGCTCTTAAAATGTGCAAAATAAAGCAGGAAACTCTCTTGAAATCGAAAAGTAGCTGAAACAACATGAAACCAGTACGACAAGCAGAATCACAATATGAAAAGCAAATTCTGAAAAAAATAACGAATTATAAAAGAAAAAAATTTGAAAGACTTCAGATTTTAACGGTTGCCCAAAAGGGTTCTTTTAAAGTATAATACGGTTTAACAGTAGAGACTGTCCATAAACATGGTCCAGGTGGAATATTAGGTAAATATGCATTTAGACTAACATGGGAACATTATACATCTTCTATACATTTAAAAAGTGAATAAATATGTACTGCGATTCTGTAAAAATAGTTAATGTTTTTAATGACATATATCACGAACTAAATGCACTTTTATTCCAATCAAACAGATTAAAAAGGGAAAAATAATATTCTTAAAACTGCAGCTATTGCTTTTAAAGAGCTTAGTTTGTTAATTAATAACAGACAAACTAAATATGAAAAAATAATATGCTAAGTTTTTCCTAATGGCAACAGACTCGAATGAAAGGTGAAACAATGAGTTAAAGTGAAAAAATGCATTTGAAAAGTGGAAAAAAATATATATAACGTAGGTTTATAAAAATATTTCATATCAATTATCGTATGTTTTGGCCTACAATGCGCACCTATTTCAAACTATATTTTTTTAGTTTTTAGGTATATTCGCCATATAACGCGCACCCTTTTCTTTGCGAAGAAAATGTAAAGATGCACGTGCGATGCTCTTATCTTTTGAAGTCATTCATTCGAAGATTTTTCACAGGCTTTCGAACAAAGGTATACTGAATTGACAGAGCGGTAAGGAGAACAATATGTGTGTGGGATAAATGCTTGCGGGATAAATAATTCTGCAAAAAGGATGAGTTTTGTTTAAAGCAGGTGTGCACAAGAATGTTATTCTAGTGTTTCGAGAAAAGGGGGACATTAATTGAGGTAACAATGCTCTTCCGACCGGAATGAATTTGGGGAATTAGCAATTAGAAGTTTTCTCTTTCTGCAGTCACTTGAAAGCGTGATTTGGAACTGAAAATCGAAGGGAACGAAGGAACAAGGGTTGAAAAGAAGGCCAAATGCATCATGCCAGTCTAGAAATAGTGGTAAAAAATAATAAAAGCATGGAGTGAAATTAAAGATGATACACTTTAAAAGTCATTGAAAAAACATAGTGCAGCATATCTAACAATGTATCTAACAATCTAGATAGAACGGAAGATGATTATTTATTTACGGATAAGAATAACAGTGATCGTGAAGATAAATGAAAAAGAATTCGACGATGTGCCTGAAAATGTAAAGGAAGACAAATATTCATTTTAAATTTTCATATTATCAGATAAGGAAATTTTTTTTATCTCATAAGTCACTTTTAAGCGTTTAGGTACATGTAGCTTAGTTGTTCATCAATACCGAGCAGACTAAATTTGAAAGATTTCTTACATTTTGACGAATGGCAACAGACTAGAATGAATGAAAGTAGAATGACTAGAATGTCAGACTAATAGCCCTTTTGGGCTTAAAAAAATAAATAAAAAAATTAATGAAGGTGAGGTTAACATTATTACTGGTATGCATTTATTTGAATATTTACAGTGCATTCTAAAAATATACTAAGAATCATGAAAAAAGCAACAAGTTTCCATTTCTAAACTATACTTCTGTGTATTTATTGTCGAAATCTAACTACAGGATTCCTAAGTTGCAATGGTATTTTTTAAAACGGAATGCTTAGTTTACTACTTATCAAGAAGCTTAGGAGAGGATAGTAATTTGTCGCAATATCCCACACTAATTTGCCCAAAGTTGTCCAAAACCAGAAACTAATTCCTCAGAATATATGCATTTAATTAAATTAATGTGCTTTCTAGTTAAAGGGGCCGCCACAGTTAGCTGCCACAATTAGATTAGTCACCACAACTGATAAATGTAATCGGCGGATGTTTAGCGTGCAACGTAGTTTTATATTGTTTTGATTACTAAGTTGCCCACGTGCTGTCAGAGATTCAATATTTTTCCTCTTCTATAACGTTTACCTTTTTTACTTTTTTGGATGACGTAAAGGAAGTATTATAAACGCGAAAAATTTCGGGTATTATTGTAATCGTATGTATTCGAGAAGTATTGTAATTTGGGAAGTAATCCATTCTCGAAAAATTTCCAGTATCTCAACAGAAATATCCATTTTGACCGTTAACTATTTGGATGATTTTTTTGTGTGGCATCTGTAAGTAGGAAAACGTTTCTAAGAATCATTACACGTTGATCCCATGTAGCCATCTCTATTTCTAGATTTTGCTTGCAATCAATCTGAAAATCTGAATTAATTTTTCTTCGCGTAATATTTTCAAGTTTTTATGTAACCTAGAAAATGTTATTGTCTTTTTACTGTATGTGACTTCAAATTCTTAAATGGGTATATATTTTCGTACTTTTAATCATCTTAATATTATTGATAGCTTTTAAATATTTGTATCACCGTAAACAACGTTTGATTCAGCTTCTTCTTATCATGAGTGTCATAGTATTCATGATAGCCCGTTCTATATTTTCAACTTTAAGCATCCAACATTTTTTTTTTCTGAAAAATATTCTAAATAAAGTTTTTAATTTCTTATTGAATATTACTTTTTGGATTCCATATTTTTCCATTTTCAAAACGCGTTTATAAAAAATACTTGAATTTTTTTAAATCACAAGAATGTTGAAACAACCAGTGCTTATTATACTAGGATGTATTTCTAAATATATGTTGATCATAACGTATTGTGAAATCCTCTGCCCTAGTGTGTGTTGCACAACATGCGTTGGGTCTCGACTATGCAAAATTGATCGACATTTATTTTATGCTATTAATTAGGACAATGTTATACGGCATGTTATACGACCTTGATAGGAGGTATAACCTAAAGCATTTTAAGTAGGATTTAAAAATGTATATTCATTTTGATCAATATGCCATTTTACTTTCTTTCATTTGTTTCATCTTCAGCAGAGTAAGCATTTAAAAATCTATAACAAAAGATGAATTTTTTCACAGGCCCCTTCTTTGTCTGGCTCAGTTGGAGGTCCGAGTCGAGATGGTGGATCCTATTTTCAAAGAAGCAACGGTTTCAGCCCCTACCATTCATATATGGAAAACGGGCATTGGGGTAGTCTGGAAAATGGGGCGAGTCTCCAGTCAGCACAGAATCATTTAGCAAGGAGATCAGGTAAGCAATTTCTGTAATAAATTTACAAACGGTATTAGTCAAAGTTTCTCTTTTTATTTTCATCCACGTACCAGCTGTTATTTCTCCAATATCTGATTACTTATATACTCAAATGTACTACTTAGACTACTGTACTGAAAAGTCAACCACCAATAAAAAGTTGCAGTCTGTTCCTATGAATTTAAGAACCATACAATTTTTTTGGTTGTACTTACTTTCCGAATATATCTATACCTACTTTTCAAATAGTATGAAATTAGTTCTTACTGAAATTTAATCGATTACTTTTAGAAAATAGGTTGTGCCAAATTTGAATGCATATTAATAACATCATACCGTAAGGCAACAACTAATTTTTATTTATTAATTTCTCAGTTAAATATTAGTTACAGGAATGAAAATTAGCAATAAGTGTTTGGATATGATGGTTGTCCTTTTGTTGCACCACACATTTTTGCAAAGAGTGCAGAAATCTGCCATTTAATCGTCTCATATGTCGCTATGAATAATGGAGACTGCAGTGCTGATGCGGCTCTTTGTGTCTAACATTGGGGCACTGAATTGAGCAGATGCTATTGAGCATTTCAAATATTTCTCGCAATATCTCATGAGAAAAAAATCAGCATATGCTAGATTGGACTACGGAGCAATCAACAGAGAAATTGATTTCTGCAGAATTGTCTGCTGTAAAAAAAAAATCCATGCTTAAGCTGGTTGTGTGTTCGTTTGTCTTGTCTTTTGAGAACGACAGGAGTCCATAACCACGTTTATCATCGGTAAATGCCTTTACTACTATCTGTAATGATAAATTGCAGTGGAAACAGCCACCTTAGAATGCCATTTGGAAGAATGCACAGTACAGTGTGGCCGACATTTGGCAAAGGTTGTAGTCAAACGCTGATAAATTAATGATATTAATATAGTTATTAATGATTTCCTAGCACACAACTACTTTTTAATAATAAATGTAGAGAATTTTTTTATTTAAGTAAGATTTTATTAATACTCTATGAATTCTGCTGCGCACTGTATGGCCGAAAAAGAAAGCTGAGCCAAAAATCTACTTGCGTAAAAAATAAAAGAAAAAACACTCTTTTAAGAGTTAGTAAGATCAGTATGTTTAATTTACATAATCACTGATTTAAAAAGTTTAAAGCACCCATCCCCAAAAATATTGCTTTTTTCTTTTAGCAATCTGTCATCTTCGTTTTTTATCAATAAAAATATTTCTGAAGTAACATATAAAAGGAAAGAAAACTGCTTTTTTACTTCATCAAAATGTCACCATTCATTATTAGGCAAAATTATTTCTAAAAAAGCCATAAAAATGGTAATTTTTTATGCAAACTCTTATTATATCGTTATTTTAACTGCAAAAGAATTGGAAGCAACTAAATGTACAGAAGATAACTTGTTAAAAATAACTTTTCTCTCGAATTTTGAAGTTCCTAATGGAATGGTTAGTTAAAATGGAGTATCGCATTTGGTAAAATAATGGCAATGATTTCTGTAAAACACTCTAACAACCATACTTTTCTCAAACACGTGCTTAAATAATGCAAAAATGTAATAAGGTAATTTATTGTAATAATGTTAAAAGTTTGGTAGTTTTCATCAAGGCATTAAACGCAGACTGTTTAATCACCATCCTTTTGCAAAATTTCATCAAGTAGCGTCTTAAGTCTTCAGATATATTTCAAGTTTATGAAAAAAATAAAACTGCAGTAGAATGAAAGTATAAAACGGTTTCTTTTGAAGCCTATGTTTGCTTCTTCTTTTCGAGCGAAATATTTTTATTCCAAAGAATAAAATTCTGAGCTATAACATCATCCCTTTAGAGTAAGTAAATCATGCCGCAGATCTTCGAATATAAATGAGAACTGCGAATTTGTATTATTGCTTTGATTATTTTAATTTAATAACAATTAACTGATAAACAGTTATGATGTGATAGTTAACTGATAAACAGTTAGTAGTTAACAGTAAAACATCGTAGATGAATATTTTATTTTGAGGAAACTTATTTAACGTAAGAACAAACGTTAGATAAACATGTATTTAAAAAAAATAATAACATTTATTGCATTTAAAAACGTTTTACCATGTTAAGCATTTGAAAATGTTGGCCTAATTTTCAAAAAATCCAAAGCATACATACACTTTTCTGAGACATTGTATTAAACTAATATTTACGAAGCTCCTTAGATGCAAGCCATTAAGCATTAGCTGCAAGCATTAGCTATAAAGTTGCACATATTTTGCAGAAATTTAACTTTCGGGTTGTTTTTTCTCCCATCAATATAATTCCAACTTCTATACTCAAGGACCCCATTCCGGATATGAATTCCTGGGGTATTTATAGGATTCCTTGCCAGTGTGGTTTAATTTACATTGGCCAAACTAAGAGAGCCTTAAAATTTCGCGTCAAAGAACATGAGGCATATGTTAGAAAAAAGGAAACACAGAGGTCTTCTGTTGCTCAACATTGTTGGTCCGAAAATCACACTTTCAATTTTTCTGCTGCCAAATTATTCAAAAACATCTTCCATTGGAGAACTGGATTTTCTAGAGGCATTTCACATTCATAAAAATCTTTCTGTTCTAGTTAACGATCCTAATTCCAATCCAAATTTGCCTTCGGCTTTTAGAGAAATTATGTTTTAGTTCTGGTTTCGCCAACAGATGGCGCCACTTGTTTATTCTTGTCCAGGCTTTCTTATCTTATCTAATCATTATTTCCTATCTTGTTCATTTGCGGTTTTGCAGCTGAAGATGATGGTTCGGTAAAACCATCGAAACTAGTCCTGTGAAAATTTTGTAGGTATAACGCTGATTTTTGTTGTTTGACTTCTGAATTAGTATTTATTCGGCGTGTTATTGTGTCTTAACCATTCCCTTTATTATGAACTGTTGCAAAAAAGTGAAGAGATCAGTAAAGCTCTAAACATTCTCTAGTTGTTTTTCATAAGCATAAAAAAAAAAAGGAATCCTCTTGATGATATTTTCATAAATCCTGTTTTCATTTTAAATATTTAGAAGTTATTTCGAGTGTATTGCTCAAATTCTAACTGAAAATCATCGATAGAGATGAGCTTCATGAAGCATTAATAAACACTTTGTAAGGTGTCTTTTAATTTTATAACAGTTATTTTAATTTTGAAACCCTTTCCTTTTCATTCTTATTTCCCACTTACATCTCGCTACTAGAATGAGATTTTAGAATCGCGCTGAATGCAAATGACTTAGCAGTAGTATTTATTGGAAGTTCAACTAACTTCGACAGAGAGTTTTAGGAATCCTTAGTGGCTCGTGTTTGCGTTCTGGATAATTCATTATTGAAGCTGTTACGGTCGGCCGTATTATACGTGCCTATTGATATTGGCCGGCTAGTTTAATGTAAGGGCCAACTAGTTAGGTAATTGTGTCTAGCTTCGGTTAAGTGTAGTTTAGACCTAGCCGATTAGATTAGTTTCTTATTTTATTATTCTGAGTTAAAGCTCGAGTAGAGGCTTTCCTGTAAGCCCGAGAAGAGGGACGACTGTATTATTTATTTGAATGGATAAAAAAGTAATTTAACCCTTCTGGAGTCTACATCTTAGTTGTTTGAACTCAGCTATAAGTCACTACGTAGTTCACTAGGTTCCTGGACGTTTTATCATAGTCGAAGGGCGAGGACCATCACAACTTATTCACTAATAAGGCACAAGCATTGATACTAAGAGAAAGCTTTACGTAACATTAAGGGGACTCATACACCTTAAACCCCTTATGATCTTCGAATATAAGACTTTTGCAAGAATTGGGATATTTTATTTATTTTAAAAGTGATTACTTCCAACTCTTTGCAGCTGACTACATAATATATAGCTGCTTTCTGAAATAGTAATTAGAAAGTTTCTGTTGCCACAAATATTTTTGTAATTTAATCCGCTTCGTGACAAAATATTTCGTCGTGTTTCCACCTTGCGCGTATGATATTTTAAAAATGGCTGATGGTACATACTTGAAATTTGATGAAATCCTTTATATGAGCACTATCTTCTAACTGAACCAAAAATCTGATGAATATTTTAATATTAAAAAATTTTATGCACGAAAACATTACAAATTTTTTTAATAAAATATGTTTTATGAACTCGACTCCAAATAAAATAAAAATTTAACATGAAATTCTTAGAATTTTTAATTCACAGTAGTTTCCAAATGTTATAAAAGCTATATATTAAATATTGGATTAAATTATGCAACAGGATGACTTAAACTGTGCGCGCAATGTGGAAACATTACGAAAAATTTTGTCACAAAGCGGATTAAATTATAAAAATATTTGTGGCAACAAAAAACTTTCTGATTATGATTTCAGAAAGCAGCTATATTATGTAGTCAGCTGTGAAAAGTTGGAAGTAATTTCTTTTAAAATAAATAAGTAATCTCAATTCTTGTAACAGTCACATACTCGAAGATCTTATGGGTTTTACGGTGTATGAGTCCCCTTAATCCAACAGTTTTGCTTTACACTGTAAAGTGGCAGAAATCAGTGAAAATGTTTCAGAACAGGTCTGCCAGAATTCTCACTAAAATTCGAAATTCTTCGTGAATTCCATAATTCACGCAGATTTCAGAATCACTTCCATTAATCATGACATTTTGAACATAGTTTCAAGATTTTACTCGCATGACAACTATGACAGCAATCACTCTAACGTTATTACTGAGTTTGGAAGATATATCTCTGGGATTAGATATATACAGGAGGCAAAGAAATATTTTTTTTTCATTTTAGAAGTGATAAAGGTGTCCTGCCATCATGGCAATATTGCACATAATTTCTAAGTTTAATGGGAATTATAAGAAAGCAAGTAATTGTTATACGCGCCAGCTCTTGATCAAAATAGTTGATTTCCGAATCTAAACTTAATGATTAAGTCATGAGTTAGGGTAAACAGACAGCAATGAAGAAAGCTACTTTTTGCTGCAATAGAAGGAAGAAAACACCGTCT